CTTGGGTGTCAGTTATGGTCTCTTTGGGGTATATTCCCAGTAGTGGAATTGCTGGGTCAAATGGTATCTCTATTTGCAACTTTTTGAGAAAGCACCATACAGCCTTCCACAGTGGCTGAACCATTTTACCCTCCCACCAACAGTGAATAAGGGTTCCAGTCTCTCCACAACCTCGCCAGCATTTGTTGCTTGCTGTTCTGCTAAATTTTGCTATTCTGAGTGGGGTAAGATGATATCTCATAGTTGTTTTGGTTTGCATCTCTCTTAGAGCTAGGGATTTTGAACATTTCTTCACGTGCTTGTTGGCCTTCAGAATGTCTTCTTTGGTGACGTGTTTACATGCCTTTTGAAGACTATAACTTAGTGAGAGGGCAAGCAAATAATCTGAAATTACAATCTGGCAAAAGAAAGCTGAGGCAGAAAAGCAAGTTCAAGCTATGGAAACACAAACACATAACTGCATAAACATGAAAGATTAAGAAAGCAGAAGTCATGGGCAACATCCATGATCAACTAATGTTTGCTAGTCCCCAAAATATATTTCTCTAATATATAGTTTTTGTAACTTTTTATTATATTAGAGGATCAATCTAAAGCAAAAATATTTGACCTAACCACTCATATCTACATGCAGACAGTCACAGGACATGAAGGCAGCAGTCCGGAGCCTGCACTGTGGTGCAGCCTGTGTCCTACATAACCTTTTGAATACATGACCTTTAAGTTGCTGAAGGTTGCTTCCGAATTTGGCTCAGTTTGATGGAAACATCTGTTCCCCTTGCAGGTATACTGTAAGGACTTTTCTCTCAGTTGCATTCAGAGCACAGCAAGTGAGCCCTTATCTGTCCAATCGCAAGGACCCCCACCCTTGTAAATCAAGTTCTGGGAGGACAGCAGCAGGTCCACAGTCCGTCACCCTTTCTCAGCCAGCCAGGCCAACCGACTGCTGTGAGAACTGCTCTTATCATGTCATCAAATCAAAGCATGTGGAGAAGAGGGACCAGAAGAGGCATCTGCAGAATTCCCCAAATGTAGTGACTTTGGAACATTGACAGATGCATCTGTCATTTCATCCTTTCAACTAACCTGACGTCCACTGCGCCGACACAGAAAAGCTGTCCAAGATCGATTCCAATTCTTTCACATTATTTTCACATGTCTCTACTAGGAAGGCCTGGTGCTTCTTTGCCTTTTTTAATTAAGAAAAAAAAATTATACATAATAAGGTCAGGAATTATACAAGCTACAGATTTTTTTGTGTAGACATACACAGTACAAATGATGCAAAAACAAGCTAATAAGTATTCCTAATATTAATAGACTCTCTTGCTATCTTAATCATACCTTTTCCTTCGCTTCATTTAACACTGTATAATGTTTCATCAGCAACTTATTAATGGTGTACCTACTTCCTAGTATTATTCAAAGAATTTCATAACTAATAATTCTTATCCTTATAACAACCCTATGTGGGAAGGATTAGCATTATCCTGATTTTTATAGTCAAGAAATTTGACACAGAAGAATTAAAAACATACTAAACGATGATGTTTGCAGGTGTATGGAAAATTGTTAGATGGTTGGCAACAGTGAAGGACTGTGACAATCAGAAGGTATTCCTGCAGTCTGGAGGACCTCTGCTGGCACGGTGTGCTCCATGTAACACTGCTAACTAAAAGGTCAGTAGTTCACATCTACCAACTGCTCCACAGGAAAAAAGATTGACAGTCGCCTCTTGTAAACATTTACAGCCTTGGAAAGTTGCTATGACTCAGAGGCAGCCAAGCAACAGGCTTGGTTCAGGGTAGCGGTCCACTCAAGAGGGGACTGCATTAGCAGGACAAAAGGCAGAGAGGGGGAACACATGCACTAGAAAGCTCCTTAGAAAGCAGATGGGCCCGATTAGTAATGTTGCATCGGGTAAGATCTCATGAACTGAGTTGGACTGGAATGAAATGGAACGGGCCAGATTACACTGGACCGGCTTGAAGTGGCAACAAACGGGGTTAGGAAAAGTTGTCAGATAAAGCAAGGACTCAAAATTAATGCAAAGGCTTCGGTCTAGAAGTACCAGGTGGATTTCTGCAGTTGAATGAGAACAAGAGAGGTAGAAAATATCTTGTTGTGGTTATTTTTATTTACTTGCTGATTTGCTTTTAGCACAGGATGTGAAATATGAATTCCATCCTAATCACGTAACACAGAGATAAAGCGTTTGCAAGAGGAGCACAATGACTGGTAAAAAAACAAAACAACAACAGCCAAAAAAATCAGCCCTCAGTAGATACCTCTGTACGAGCAAACAACAAATAAGGTAGGTATATATGGGCTGCGGAGCTGAGCTGTGTTAATACAGCCCTCATTGCTTCTGGGTTGGAACTGACTCATAGCTGAGCCTCCAGGAAGCCTCCTGGGCTGCAAACTGCACAGGAGGAACTTTCTCCCGAGCACCTGCTGGTGGATTCAGACCAGCACAGAGGGACCACCTTTGGGTTAGCACTGCAACTCCTGTAGCCTCAGAGCTCCCTGCCTTAAAAGAAGGGTTCAATTAAATTCCTATTTCAATAATACTTCTTCTATTTAAAGATCGGAGCCAATCCAAACCAAAATCAAATGGGATTTGAACTGCTTCATTATACCACACAAGCTATGATTTCCCTAATGCCCTTCTCCCACCATCTCCCAGTCAGGTAAGCCCACAAGCGCATAAGCACACTAGTCCCACCTCCTATCATCGTAGTCATTCCAAAACCCCTTTTCCTTCACATGCAAGCAATGAATGAAATATCTATAGTTGGATTTGGAGTAATTATCTTCCAGGAGAAAAAAAAATTTATTAGGATCTACAACAGAACATCCAGTTTTTCCTAACTTACAGCAGCTAGTCTGTTCCATCCTGTCAAAACACATTCTGATCCTAGAATTCCTGCAGTCCAGTATAAATAACGTTAAGTGGGTCTTTGAAAACTTGACCAGCTAAAAGCTATCACTGGCCTCCTTACTGAACTAACAGAGTCCCTAATTATCTGCTCCAAACCTGAATCAGTTAAACGGGGGAAAGTATTTCTAGCAATTTCTCAAGGCTACTAAATACAGGAGGATTCTGAAAGGAGCCCTCTAAAGAAACCTTTTACTCTCCAGCACCTACTCTCAATTAAAAGAGATCTACCCTCCTGCTCCTCTTCCCAAGTAATTCCTTAGGACTACAGGAGACCTCATACAATGGCTATAAACCAAGCAAATTATCAAAAGACGCCAAGAACATCCTGCCAAGTGAGTTGGCACAAACATTTAAGAAGTGAGGCATGCTTAATCTTATCTTTTAAAATATCATTTGCCACTTATAAGCTTTGGCAAGGAATCCACAAAGCAGTCGTATTTGAATATAGAATTTCAGTACTATTAAATTTAATGTCATATTAGCCAGAGAACATTGGGTATAAAAAACTTTTTAAGAGAACAGAAAAGAAGTTTGATCATAATCAAGACTGGGGGGGGGGAGGTTAATTATGCCTGAAAGGCACCATTATATATACAAGTGGTAAAAATTCAAATAATTTTCAGGTCCAACTACAGAGATAATTGGCAAATATTCTTAAAACATAGCCAAAAGAAAATCTACCTATACTTAACAAATATACAAACCAACTAATAATAAAAAGAGTTGGTCTTATTTTACAGTTGACAACTTGCTTTCTAATAAATTGGACTGTTATTGTAAAGATGAAAGTCACACAAGTATCAAGGACTTGCGTTCATAGGGTTGCTGTGTGTCCACTAGACCAACTGATCTCCCTATATGTTGTTGTTGTTGTTGTTAAGTGTTGTTGAGTCGTAGGCGACTCACAGCCTACGACTCAACAACACTTAACAACAACAACAACATATAGAGAGATCAGTTGGTCTAGTGGACAGAAAGTGATGCTATCAAGCCAAAGGTGGGTGACTCTAATCCATGGCCCTCAGGACTATTTTTAATTGTTACATTCCTGTAGGTCGTATAGCCCTGGTGTGTCCGCTTGCCGCACAGATGTAACTCATAGTTGCTGTGAAGCTGTCACATTGGTATGTCAAATGCGATATGGTCACCCATAGTGTAGACAGTGTTTGGGGGAGCTCCCCGATTAAAACAAGCTTGGAAGCAGGAATGGCATCCACTTCCATAATAGCTTGCCTCTGGAAACCCTATGAACCTGGAGAAAGGATGAAAGTCACGCAAGTGTTGAGGACTATTGTTCATAGAGTCACTATGAGTCGCCTACGACTCGACAGTACTTAAGAACAATTGTAAATTAAGCCCTCACTCTTCATTAGTATAGCAAAATTGTTCCAAGTTTATTTTTAAGTGCTATGTTATGCTTATTGTTGTTGTTGTTGTGTGCCATCGAGTCGCTTGTGACTCATAGCGACGCTATGTACAAAAGCTCTAAATGCTCTTCTATCCTGTGCCAACCTAACCATCTCAAACGCACTTATTCCCACCGCTCCAGTCACAGAATCGATCCATCTCACCAAAGGTCTTCCTCTCCTTCGCTTCCCCTCCACTCTGCCAAACATGATGTCCCTCTCCAAGGACCAGTCCCTCCTTGCAAAATGCCCAAAATATGTCAGACGAAGCTTCAGAATCCTTGACTCCAGGGAACACTCTGGCTTCACCCTCTCCAGGACAAACCTGTTTGTTCTCCTAGCAGTCCATGGTATACTCAACACTCTTATATTTAATTTTTTATTGTATTTTAAATTTTGTTTTTAAAGCTATTTTTCTCCTAATAGCCTTTTTATGCATCAAGAATTCTCAAAGACAGAATCTGTCTTCAGTGCTTCTATTCCACTTCCTAATTCACTGTGAAATGCCTGAGGTCCTATAGACTTGAAAGCAGTCATCTGAGGCATAGGCTCTACTCTCCTAGAGCAACAGAGTAGGAGGAAAAGCCTGGAACATGAAGAGATAGAGTATATGTCTGTTTCCTTAACAACTACCTCCTTTGTCCTAAGTCAGAACAATTGGCTAGTTTCCCAACTACCACTACTCTACCTTTAGATCAAATATAGCACAGAACAATGTTTATCAAAAGGGGAAAAAATGCAGAACAGATTTTCAAATTCTCATAGACTCCATACTACCTGGATCTCTGACATTTGGATGAATCCCTGAAATCAATGCCCTTAGATAATCTTTAAACCTTGAACTAAAAATATCCCTTAAAGTCTTCTTAAAATCAAACACCAGTTTGGCTTAACTTGTAAAAACATTCTGCCTTGAGCATTATGCTCTTTTAAGAACTATCTGTATGGCATAAAATTGGTAATAACAAATTGAAAGATTAAATAGAACCCTGGGGGAGCCATGAATTTACATTCATGTGGTTGGAACCACCCAGAAAAGGAGAGGAGGGGAACAGTGATACAACTCTTAAGACATAAACAATGTCATTGAATTATATTTATAGAAGCTGCTAGATTAGTGTATGTATGTTTTCCTGTGTCTATCATCAGCAACAAAACAACTTGTTTATAAAGACATATTCTTTGAGCAAAATAGATAAAACCATTAAACTGGAAACAAAAATATCAAACAAACAAAACATCAAATATCTCACTTTTTATGAACATATTTTGTCATATGAGATAAAAAGTTTAGCTTGAATGTTAAGTTGTTAATTGATCATGATAAAATTCTATCATTCTAAACATCCTTAGAACAAGAGACTGAATGGCAGAATAAAGGATGTGTGTATTTCTTTGTCTTGGACATAATTCACCAGAAAAAAACCCAATGTGCCACCCTCAGAATAAAAAGTCCTTTAATGTAAGGTTGGCTAGCCAGATGATGGTGAGATGGGCATCTGCTGGTGTCCTCCAGGAACCATGGGCCACTAGAGTCTCATGATGCATCTCTAGGTAGTACAGATCATGCAGGCTAAAAACATCAAAATACTCAAAGACAGTTCATAGCAATTTGTGACTCTGATGGCTTATTACAGAGGGAACAAACCACCTAAAATAACTCAGGAAACAAGTTATAGTAAACAATTACATATGAATTCACAAACACATTCAGCATGTGCTATCTAATAATATTATATAATAAGGGTCACTGACAGTGACAAAAATGGTTTCTATTAGCAAAACAATGTTCACGTATAAATAGTACCCAGACGCCGGGCAAAGAATAATGAAAAATTTTAG